GCGCCTGCCTGGATGGCAGCCTCCCGCTTCAGCTCTTAAACTGCCCCAGGAGGCAGGTGACACCACTGGAAGGGCTCCCTTTTGCGTTGTTCTCGTCGGGCTCGTGCGCCGGGATTGAATCTGGGTCCCTCGTGAAATAGAGGAGTTGACACTTCAAATCGCGTTCGCAGCCCTTTCGCAATAAAATACTTAAACCAAATCATGGCTGTAAAAATCTTGAACAGGCACTTAACGTCAGCAGGTACGAAACCATGCCCTACTGCGCGTCTTGTCTTGATTTCATTGAAGAGTAATAATGCGGCGGTGGCGCGCGTACTGTCGCATCTCAATACACCGCGACAGGATTCTGCGCAGGATGTCGTACGCGATGTGGATTCGCAAAAAAATAGCACTTTTATGCGTCTCAAACTTTGTTCCGCAAATATATGCCGTGCTACAAGTTTGTGTAGACCCGTAACGATGACAACAACACTACTGAAATGTTTGGCATGCAGCAGAAATATCTACTAAATTACCGCGGTTGACCTTTGTTACACACTTGAATAGCAAAAGTCAGTACAAATTGCATAGTACACACTACGCTCTTGGATTCCGTTACATAAAGTTTTGATAGGAAGTCATATTTTTAAGGAAAGTTGCATTATCCCAACGATCTAGCCCATAAGACACCGTATTCAGTGGAAAATCTAGTCCCCGCGTGCACGTCAGTGGTTGCCAGGGTCACATAGCCTGTATTTCAAGTAGCCGTGGATGCTTGGTATGCCACCAAGTATCGTAATCTGTGCGTGTTTTTGCCCTTTCTCGTGATGTTACTGATTTGTCCCTGATTTTATATTGCTCATTTGCGTTCGCATACTCGGCTTTGGCACCATTTTTGAAGGCAATTTTCCACATTTGTCGGGGGGTTTTGAACTAAAATAGCCATCTTGAAGATTATTCGATGCATTTCACCGTCCTGCCCTTATCAAGAACTCAACTCACCTAGTTTCTGAGCTACACGCCTACGAAAATGGGAAAAGGTTTGTCGGAGAGAATATTTCGAAGTTACCTTGGCATTCATGACGTCATAAAACGTCATTCAAATCCTGCTATTCCATAAGCCATAGGGCCATCGAGGCCAAGAAAAACATCATTGTTGAGGCGTTCCCGTCTGGCGAGCGCGATTTCCAGATACAACGGCCTTTAATTAGCTCTCAGTCAATGTTGCGCAAGGTGCAATGACGTTATCAATGACGCATTGAGGAGACTTTTACTAAACAGATGACTGTGCTGTCAAGAGCAGTCTTTTCCACTTAAAAGTATGCCAACAGTTATCAAGTGAACTCGTTTCATCCCATCCGATGCTTATTTCGATATCTTCAACCGTGAAACAGCTCCTTTAAGTTCTTCGATTCCCAGCGTTATTTGCGTTATAAGTCGCACAGCTGTTCTAGCTCCTGTGTTACACAGCACAAACGTGATTTGTGTTCGGAACTTGCATGGAACGCATCACCGTAGTTCACGGCCAACTGAAGTCCGCTGATGCCAGAAGTCTTGCTGACGTACGCTGGACACGGGTATCTTGATGATAGCATTTGTCGTGGCCTTGAGCGCGCCATGTCCGATGAGGCCGCAGTATTCGTGAGATGTTTCTGTGATGTGATGCATGCTTGGGTGACCTTGAAATAGTTGCACAAGTTGGCTGGCGTGAAGTTTAAGAGCCAGAGAGCTCGAAGCCTTAATAAGGGCAGGCCTATTACTGCAACGAATGACCTTTAACATGGCTGTCAGCCCAAAACCCCACACAAATGTGAGACACTGCCCTCGGGGGTGGTAAACTTGCCGGCTTGATGGATAAGTCGGCGACAAAAATGTGTTATATTCACGCGAAGCTTGATGCCAAAAATGTTTTTGAACAGCAAGTTGTGGCGACGGCCAGACAAAAAATACAGCACACTGAAGAACATAACATGACGTCTCCACACATAGGTATTATGTCTCCATGGTAATTCATTTCGTCACACAACACCAGGATACGTTTCCGTAAAGACTTTTTGCGGTGTCCTAGGGCACCATCGTATCTTTTGTAGGCTTCATTCCAACCCGGCGACAAAAATATCCTATGATTTTTAGTTGGTCGGCCGACTTGGTGATAGGGTCGGCGACAAATCAGTGAATTCCTATGGCTTGGCCGGTCGGCCGATTCGCTGTCGGCCGACCCTCAGTGCCCCGATCTAGAAAGTATAAAATATCGAACAAATCTAGGTAGTGGGGATTCATCTGGCGGCGGATGAATCCCCATATCCACCCATATGTGATGAATAGATCAATACATTAACTGTCGCTTATTTTATCGTTATATATCGCACAGACTTACGTATGTAAGGACACCATGAGAAAGGAGCCAAACGCGAGCACATAACGGGTCTTGGTTCAGTGAGCACTTCCAGTCCGTGGTGTCATCTCTCGGGAGATTGAAGGAACTACGAGGGAGTACTGTCATTCAAACGTTCCATGAGGCAATCAAGCGATGACGTATTGAGGAGCATTTTTACTAAGTAGAGAAATTGTATTGCCTGGAGTAATGTTTTCCACTTAAAAAGCGTGCCAATGGTTATAACTGAGCGCGATTCATCATATCTGCTAGTTTGCTGCGATGTCTACAAATAAGGAGCGTTCCCTTGAAGAAAAACAGGGCTGTGAAGTGCTCGGAATGATCTTTGAGATGACTATTTCATTTAAAAAACCCATACAAATGTGGAGAACTCCCTTAAAGCTCGTGACAGGCGTGCAAAAACATAAGAAAATAGAAACTTGGCTAACTTAACGTTAGGAAGATTCGGAGATACATTTCGAGAAACCAGCTTGGAAGGTACATTCGATAAACCGGTTAGGGAAGATACAGTTTGAAAACCAAGCGGACGCCGTTCAAAAATATCAAGCCTCCTGTCTTGGCGAGGATTGTCAGTGTGTTGCATGCCGTACTGAACGGGTTGAAGCTTATTGCATCCCAGAGCGTCTGCTAATGCCTGATGTGGTCTATCAGCGGAAGCGAGATCTGATTCTGGTCGTTCTTGCCAACTATCTGGACGTGGGCTTTGTGTCATTGCTGGCGCAGTTTGGCCCTCATCTAGACGGTTGGATGCTTGATGACATGGAGTAAGCTCGCCTGCTGGTTGCTTGTGTGTTTCTGGTCTGATAGCACTTTTCGAGATTGTTAAATCGCCTATCTAAGCCTTATAGTTCATCTAAGCCTCGCTCAACTCAGCCATCAACGGTCGCTTGTTCCATCTACTATATATCGCACAGACACAAGGCTTGCGCAGTACATAAAGCGCGGCGTTACATGTGTGAGGCTTCAGCCGGAAATTTTTGACATCCTGCCAACGTACTGGATTTCCGCGGGCGGGCGGTGAACTTCCGCAGATGATATATTCACTGCCAGCGCCCTGCGCGTCACCTGAGCACCAGACACCACACCGCGACGCTAATGCAATTATAGTCAGAGGAAATCCCCGCCTCGGTGGCCGACTTTGCCACCTTTGGCTTACAACCAGGAAGCATAGCGCCGGCTTTGATCGGGCCGCCGGACGACTTCGCGAGTACCCTCGCCAACATGTGAATAATGCTGGAGGCGCGCGCCCGTAGAAAGTTCGGCCGAACTTCCCACGGGCCGAAAAGTCAAGTCCCCGGCGTGGTGAAGTGTTCCCAGCTGGCCGAGCCCCTCGCTCCAGTGGCGGTCTGTCCTGCGAACGAGGAACGAGAGCGGGTCCCGTGATCGGCCGAGGTCCTGCACGTTACGCGCGAGGGGCCGCTCGCCCGGGAGCCGGCCGGCACCGCCCTCGGCCCGGACTGCGCGACGGAGGGTCCCGGGGCACGGCTTCGGCGGCCCCTCTCGCCGACGTCGCCGCGCCGGTTAAGCTCCGCAGACTGGCGCTCACCGGCCGTGTCACTCGGATGGTGGGACGGCCGCGGCGGCCCGGCCGCTCGACGGTCGCCGACCGGAAGCGCGGCGTCGCGGCGCGCCGCCGGCGGCGGTGGCGGCCGCTGCGCCGGCCGTCACGGTCCGCGGCGCGCGCGGCCCGCCGCCCGGCGCAGGCGTGGCCGGCCGGCCAGTGTCGGGCGCGTGCGGCGGCCGAGCGCGGTGCGGTGGCCCGGCGGCGGACGGAGGCCTCTGCGCAGCGTGGTGCGGGGTACGTACGCCCGGCCGTAGCGGATGTCCTCGCCAGGGACGGCAAGGGGACTGCCAAGCCCCCCCCCCCTTCTGAACCAAGAGGTTTACAGGAGCTGCTGAGCGATTTCTTAGGAATTCGGTCCGGATTTTCAAAATTGTGGATAGTTTTGCATGTTCCCCTCCACCGCCTGAGCAACATTGTGGCCACGTGTGTGGTCGTCGTGGGGTGGTATCCGACTGGGTGTGGGTGACGGTTGATGTGGGGCCCGGGGAGAAAGCGTGGGCAAGTCTTACTTTTCGTGCGTTATTCGTAGCCGGTTTGGAATAACACTTTGCGGCATGATTTTTTGGTTGATGAATTTTCGCAGGATTTGAGCCAGACAGCATAAGGACATGTCAGGTAGATTAGTTATCATCCGTGGAGGGAAACCAGACCGTAATGAGTCAACTCATGTCGGCAATAGGGAGGACCGTCCGAGCGTCGAAGTGGCCAGAGGGCTGAGGTGGCAAACAACAGGATCCGAAACCGCAACACGAAGCTTGGCGTGCTGCAGCGCGTGCTACCCCGGCCACCTTTGGCGGGTGGACGGATATGCAGTGTGAACCCGAGCGTTGTGTAAATGTTAACGTTATCTTGCTAGTTGCAGCTTCAATGTATATTTTGGACTCAAAAAGCTGTTCACCCCTCGCCCTGGTTTGAGGATGGATTCGCGCCCTGGGTGAAGTGAGATGAGATCCGTATCTGTTCCCGTGGTGAAGTTGGATGTGGCCCTGGATCTGCGCCCGTGGTGAAGTGGGATGGGATCCGGATCTGCGCCCGTGGTGAAGTGGGATGAGATCTGGATCCATGTCCGTGGTGGAGTGGGATGGGATCCGGATCCGCGCCCGTGGTGAAGTGGGCGGCATGGCAGCGGGCGCACGGTTATCTTGTGCACGGTATACAGAACGGTACAAGCTGTGCACAGCGTGACGTCCTGTAGCCCCCGGTGCCAAGGACGCCCCCGCATGCTCGTATCCTGAGCGGTTCTTCTCAGCTCTGAAGTAATCGAAATGTGGGGGGGGGGGGGAGGAAGAGTGCCAGGTCAACCCTCGGTGACAGACGTAATTAGAAAACAACCATGCGAGTCGCCGGCACGCCTCTGTAACCTCAGCGGATCGACTTCGGGGTTGGGGGAGGGGGGGGGGGGGGGGCGGGGGCTCGGTGCACGGTCACGATTCGACCAGGTGTCTCTAAAGTATATGATGTCAGTCAAGCATGGAGCAGGTGATGAGCTAACAGCTCTGCTCATGTTGCTGTTATGCAAGCGTATGGACGGAACTTAAATAAACTAAGCCGCGGACAGCGATTTGTATGTGTATCACCAGGTGAAGAAAAGGTACGTAAAGACACTTTTTGGCGGCGTTGTGGTGGTGCCACGCCTGTTCATTTGAACCGCTTCCTGACGGCGTGAACACGAAGAACACATTCCATGTTTCTAGATTGGTGCGTAGGAAGTGCGAAAAGACGCAGTTGAAGTCTTTGGGAGAAGCAACGATTATCGGGAGCGAGAATACCTCTCTTGTCAAAAATAATCAAAATCGCCCATTTTGTTTACGGACGGCAGCTCATTTGCCCATGCAAAGGCACTATTTCCCTGTATCGTCCTGCGATGAAATAGGTCGTGGTAATCCCTGATTTATATATACATACATATATATATATATATATATATATATATATATATATATATATATGCATGTATGTATAAACAATCAGGTTATGAACACTCCATCAGACTCGTTCTTGAGAGCTGCGCGCGTTTTCCCCGCAGTTAGTACATTTCGTATGAATGGTGGCGTCCGCAGGGGTGTTTTTGTGTCACGTATCTACGTTACGACGGCCGAACGGCGCCAGTCGGCTTCATCTGTTTGCCTGCAAGTCAGGGCTTCGCCGCCGAACCGGCGGCATTGTGCTGTTCACCGTCACGCGGACGGTCACACACCGATCTGACGCGCCAGTCCTGTCCCACGGTCATAACGGACGCGCCAGGCCACCAGTGACGACCGCCGCACGTAAACACGGCGTCTGGCCGCGGCCTGGGGTGGCCGTCCACTCCCACACCGCCGGTGCTAAAGCGCCAGCCTGTCCCTGAGCCGAACGCCGTGCCCCATTTCGAATCCCGCCCATCACCAGACGCCGGCCCTCTTTGGGTCGTATCGAAATTCCGTCGGCCTCGACCTAATTCGAGCTCCAGTTGCTCACCAAAGCTACTTTGTCTTTGAAAGGACTTCCAATTTGCCCTGGACTTTTGCCACCGGCTCTGGAATCCCGTTGATTTTTCTTTACAGCCCAGTCATTGATCCCTCCGTCCGTCGTCTTCCTTTCCTGCCATATCCCATTTCCTTCTCCCTGCCATCGCCTCTCATCTCTCCCGTTGCCTTTCCGCCCCACCGTCTTCTCACTCGCTCCGTTCGTCCCTCTTCCTTTGTCCCGCGCTACTTGGCTCAATTCCCTCTCTTTCGCTTCCTCCCTCACCCTGTCTTTACCTTTCTCTCTCTCTCTCTCTCTCTCTCTCACTATCTCTCTCTCA